TGAGCTGGGAAGTGTATTTAGGGATAGTCAACTAGGATTTCTGAAAAATAATCAGGATTGCTCCAAATGGAAAACGTATCAGATAAGCTTCCTTCGGGAGAACACCTCATTGCCTGCACTAAGTGAGCACTCTGGCTCTATTAACTCCTGCGTCTTGTTTCTCTGCTCTCCCCGTGGATAGCAGAGAAGAACAGAGAGAGGCCGCAGCAGGTTCCCACCCTCCTCCTTCCCTTCCCTTTTATATTCTCTGTATGGCCAGATTAAACAGTGATTGAAACACATAGCTGTGTGGTGTTAATGTCTTGCTGCTTCTTTTGAAACATGGGCAGATTGCTGTCCCAGAGGGATTTCTAAATTTTCATTCCAGTGTTTCTGACTTTCAGCTTTGACCACTGGCTAAGTAAATATGCAATTAAGTTAAAGAGATTTTTTTTTAATGAAGATTCTCTTATTTCTGTGCAGAAAAAATTAGGCAGAAAGAATTCTTTAGGGCATCTTCATATCTTCAGTGTGGTGTGGCTTGGATGTTGATGCCTGCAATGAAAATCTATCACATTAGGGCATACTCACTGCCTGCCTGCATGATTCCCAGTAGTTTTGTGACGAGCTATCTTTCAGAGTGATGTAGGATTTTAATACAATAATCTGTACATTAGCAGGAGTGTGTCATTCCGGGGCTAAGCCATGCTGGTCAGAAGATAAACCACAAATCTCAGGGCATTAAAATTCAGTACACCTCAAAATTTGTGTAAATAGTGTATTGAATTATCTCAGATAGCTAGTGTACTTTTATGAAGAGGGTTTATTTCCTTCTCAGCATTGAGTTTAAACCAGGTGTAATTGACTGACACCTTGAAGAATATGCAGTGACACTGTAAAAAACTTAGGAAATGAAACTAAATGCCCTGCTGAGTGTTTTGTGGGGGCTGCGGAGAGGCCGTGTTGTTCAAGTTGGGGGTCAAGGATGGAATACCTATATTCTCTTAAGCACAGACTTCCAAAGGGATTTGGAGGAGGACAATATAGGTATAGAGCTAGGTTTCATTTGTATTGGAATGTTCTTCAAGATTTGATATATTAGAATGTTGATGACTTTATTGAGTGCTGGATGAGTAGTGCTTCAGGCTGTTTCACCATGGTTCTTGTTTCCTGATGACGTAGACTTAAGCCTTAAGGAATTTTGGCATTCACCAATAGCTCGTGATTCACACAACTGTGCACTTCAGCAGTGACTTTCTTCTGACTGGCTTCTGGCACAATGGCCAGAAATTCCTGCTCTGCAACAACAATTTTGGTTTGAGATTGACGATAATTCTGGCTTCTTTTAAGCCAGAAAGTTACCATCTTGCATTTTATGTTGAAAGCTTAGAGCAGAGAAGGGAAGGCATTTATTGGTTCTCTATGCTGGAGCAGTGTCAGCAGGATGCAAAGGTGTTTAAGACAAATTATGTTTTCACTTAAGGCAAAATGCATCTTCAGTAGTGAAGACCTTTTATTTGCTTCATGTAATCTGCTTCATCGTTGTATTTTTTCTATTAGCATGAGAGTATTAAATGCTTCAATCCCTCTGATCTCTGCTCTGGCTGAACATCTATCCAGGAATAATGTGCAGGTGGGAAAAAAGAGCTGATCACCTGGGAAATATGATCCTTTTTTTTTAGTGAGGAAATTGTGATGGCTATATGGAAAGTGATAAAAGTATTCTTTTTAGCCCATTCTGTATGAAAGTCAAGTAAGTGTATGTGTCCTCAGAATGTGTCCTCAGAATAAGGCAGCTATTCTGGGCTCCCACCCCATGGAAAACTGTCACTTTTCTCCTTGAATTTTGTCTATTCTTTTGTGATTGAGAATTCCCTGAATAAGCCCGGTGAGACTTTGTGTGTGTGCATGTGAGTGTATTCATAGCAGGAGAGGAGAAAGCTGATCCCAACTGAATTTCAGTCACCTTTGCCTTCTGGGACGTATAGTACTTCCCTTGAAGTTTGTATGGAGTCTTCAGTCAGTGCAAAATAGAACTACTGGCCTCTTTGATAGTTTTGAGCTTCTGCTCCTCCAATTGTGCAGACTTTTGGGTTATTTCCAAGTTCAGTTCAAACATCCTGGTTTTGATCTAGAGACCCTGGTGTTATTTTGATCTTTCAGCGTGCTATAACTTTGTTTCCTTGTGTTCTTAGCAATGAAGTCAGTTGGGAGCTTAACGGTTATTTCAGATTAACGGTTGCAGTAAGTAGAGCAGCAACTTTTTAGAGGTTAGCATATCAGAGCTTGCAATTTTATTGTTTTGTTTTGTTTTGTTTATTTTTCCTGGGTGGTCTTGCAAATCTGGAGATTTACTTCAGGAAATGCTACAGTATCTTTCCAGCTTAAAACGAAGTGCTCTCCTTATGTCCATTTAGGCGCATGGGTGCTAAAAGATGTTGGCACGCAGATTTCTGTTTTATGGAGGAGGAAGAAGATAGGATTTGATGAGCTTTGTGTGGCCTCTCAGAAGAGCAAATCTTTTAACCCGCAAACAGCAGGAAGCATGCAAATCACAGCATTCAGGGCATTGCAGTCAGTTCCTATTTAATGACAAGAAATCTACAGACAAATTCAGATTTTTGCATAAAAGATGTTGTGAGAGCGACTATAAACAGACTTCTGTTTGCTCCAGGAGGTGTATCAAGATTAATGGTATCCTTTTTATTTTCTTTTTTTTACCCTTTTTTTTTTTTGCTATATTTGTACGGGAGCTTGTCTAAGAGACCATTGAGGAGGTGCATGCTAGTAGTGTTAACTCAGACCCATATTTTTCTAAAGTAAATTGAAAATGCTGGTGTTTATTCTGTTTGTGTAATCAGAACAAATCTGTTTGTTGTTGTTCTTGTTGTTGTTGTTTTTTTTAAAGAAGCCATCACTGGCTCCTAGATGGAAGTCATGTTTCACCTCTGGTGGTGTAAAGGCTTTGTTTCTCTCTCTATGGGAAAAGAAGTTTTCCTTTTTGTTCCCTATTACCAATTTCAATGTATGGAGTGGCCATCATTTCCAAAAAGGTTATGTTTGGTGGTCTTATATACACCGATCTCAGATACCTGTTTTTTAAATTAGTTCCCAGCTAAGAGGTATAATACAGTTGTGAAATAATAAAGTAATGTAATACTGGTAAAGATGAACAATATGAACAACATCCTTTCTGAGATTCCATTAATCAAAGAGCTCTCTAAAATCTTTCCTAATTTCTTGTACGAGTTTGATTATTTTCATATGAATCCTTAGTACCCCTTTTAACACTTAAATTCACATCAGATGAACAGGTAGCTATGGGAGTTAAAAATAAAAATTGAATTCATACTTCTTTCCTTTCTGAGTTGCAGTAAATGCACATAGGAACACAGCACCTGCACTTGGCAATTGCTCTGATTTTGCTCTCTTCATTTCTGCATTTGCTTTTTTCTTTAATCCCTTGTCCCTTTGAGCTCCAAAATGCTTGCATCAATCTCATGCCTAGGCAGGAGTTTCAGGCGGATGATGCTACTAGTGCTGTGCTAGAAGTGCAGTAAGGATGTGCTTGAACTCCCATAGGACTTCCACTGAAGATTCTCATTATCTTACACAGACTTCAGTTCATTTTGTACTATATTTTAGCCCTAGTGACTGCCACGTACAGAGGCAGTTGCTTCAGTTTAGTGCATGCTGAATCAAAAAACAGTGGTATTTTGGTATTTGCTTTTCAGAAGTAAATAAATAAATAGTCATTGTATAGTTTTTATACATGAAATAGCAAGATTTAAGCAGAACAAGAATCAGGGTTCTTATTCCAAGTCAAGTGAGATGGTGAAAATTCTGTGGTTTTATCCTGAAGTATCAAACAGTCTTGAAATCACAGTTTCTCTATGTGTGTGTCCCTATGTATTAAGCAGTAATTCCATTTTCATGGGCAACTTCGCTCAGACATGCTCACAGATTTTTTTTTTTCATCAACTAAGCAATTTGTATATATGTTATATTAAATTCTCTCTTGGCTGGCTCAAGATGCAATTTTAAGGCCCATGAAGAGGACACTAGTACATTTTCTTTATAAAAGCCATAGCCAAACAGAGACCACAGGGAGAGATATCTCTTTATAAAGACACTTAAATGAGTGCGTATATATGGATATGTCATAAAATCTGAAAATTAATATCTAGTAGTCAAATACATTTCTGGGAATGGTAAAGTTGTAGTAACCAAATCCCCTCATGAAATCTTGTAACGAAGTGCCCCCTGCCGGCTTCCTGTTTCTTTAGCTGCCAAGAGCTGCGTGGGAGCAATCTGGATAAGATGAAGGCAAAGACTTTGCATGAAATAAAGGGCTGTGAGGATGATGAGTTTGTTTTTGGAGAATTGACCAAAGCCTGAGAAATGAACCAAAGTGTCAGACTGCCCCAAGTTTATGCATAAGAACATCATGTTCCTAAAACTTGTTTCGGAGCTCTTTAAAATAATTGGGAGTTTTTCCAGCAGTGTCAGTGTCCTTTGGATCAGGCCCACAAATTCTTGAGACTTCTATGAAGTTAAGTCTAGGTTTAAATCCAGAAATCTTATTTCTCTTAAATCACCCAAGAATATTTAATTTTATATCTTAAATTATATGCCATATATAGGCAGAAAATGCTTTAAGAAGCTAAAGGGCGAATGACAGAAATAGTCTTACTTTATACTATAAATGTTAGATTAGCAAAAAATGCAATGAACTATTCTTTATATATTTGATCATATTTTATAAGATGAATTCTAGTTCTGCTTTTTTTTGACCATTGGTAAGTATTGTACTTCTGGGAGGACCATCAATAAACCTACCAGTTCCATTTTCATTTTTCTTTTCTTCTGTCTAGTCATGTTCCAGTCCCACTTTTGAATCTGCAGAATTTGGTAACAAAGATGGGTGCAGCCATTCTCATTCATAGTCCAGCTTATTTGTGTGTTGCTTGTTTTAAATAGAGTATGTTTCTAATATTTTTTTCCTTTCTTTCAAAATGCAGGTGGAGAACAGACCAAAGTATTATGGAAGAGAGTACGTATTTTTCTCTTTTAAATATTTGTTACTTGACTCTGAAAAATGCTGTGGTAGATTTTTTTGAAAAAAAGTCACAGTGGAGTTCTGACAAAATGCTTGATTCACATTGCACCTCCCTCACCAGGGAGCTAGATAACAGTGAATGACTAATATGTGAGCTGTTACGATCATTATTGCTGCTTACATTCCACACACTGTACCACCATATTTATGCTGTTTCTCTTAGGTCAATTCAGAGCAAAATTGCTGTCTTTAGTATTTCTTGCTTTTGTTTTGGTTATCATTTTAACCTGCCTATGAGGCTACAGTGGGTTAGGGAAGAGAGAAAAGACCTCCTTTGTCGCTGCCTTTTTGTTATGTGTTCTTATATTGTCTCTACCATGATGCTGGATGCCCATTACCACGTGGCTTGGTGCTTTACACCCTGGTGAGGTTGCAGGGTCTGAAACACCCAGAGGACTGATACCTTTTTTGTTGCAAGGAAACTAACAGGCCGCTAGAGCACAATTCCTAGGAATGTTTTCCTGTCTCTAGCTGGGCTCTTCATTTCCATGGTAGGGCCAGATACATCAGCAATGTTTAATGATCCTTTTCTACTATCAAAAACCTCAAGAGCTTCCATAGCTTGCCCCTAATTACTGTAGTTTCATTTTTAAATATTATCTTTGCCAATGGGGAATTCAGATCTAGTCAGGAGGATACAGCAGAACTGAGGACAGTAGCAAGATAACTAACCCAACATGATTTATAGGACAGGACTTGGAAAACCATCACCCCAGTTCTTTTTGCGGTAACCTGGCTGGTTACTGATGTCAAGTAGGGAAGCAGAATTTCAGGGACCATAGGAGGTCACCTAGATGAACCCATCAAGGTAAGATTACATTAGCTATTACCATTCAGAAAGCAGATTTTAGATCTACTGGGGACAGTCCTTTAAAAGCAGTTGGCTCAGTAGTGCTGGGAAAGAAAATGAGGAGCGAAAATGAAGTGGCACAAAGAAACACTGATTTTTTCCTGCACTGTTTTGGTAAAGCTTTTTCATCCGCTGCTGTCAAGGTCAGGATTCGGAGTTCAGGAGATCTGAGCCTCATCATGGACAAATGTTTCTCTGATCTTAGGTAAATGTACCTAGAACATCCATGAGAAGGCTTTTCTTGCCCAATAGTGATCTTCCCGCAGTGACTTTATTCAAAGTGACGAAAATTGGTTTGTACTTTCTCCTTGCATTGGTGGGATGCAGTCATTTTCTGACGCATCCAAATTAAAAACAACATCTCATAGATTACATAACTTAAGCATGTCTTTACCAGTAGATTCATGGCAATTCATAAGTCTAGTTAAAAATAATAAGCATCAGCTATTATTTGCACTGGAAGCTCATTGTAAAATAAGGCAAACTTTAGATAAGATGTTAGAAAACAAACTTTCACGGTGATCCCAACTGGGATTATACTGATCCCGGTGATCAGTAAAATGAACCACTGGGACAGGATACTCAGGACATCAGTGAAACTTCTTTAAGCAGGTGTTAAATTGTGGGAAGATTGCCTAAAACCCATATTTCTAACATGTATTAGTTGTGGAAAGACAGGAGAACTGAACAATTGCATTTATATCCAATATCCAACATGTTTTCCTTCTTTGTCACAACCAAGCCAGAGGCAGTGTTAGCAATGTGCCACTTCCTATGTATTGTCAGAAATTAGAAAATGCTTACACCCAGTAGGTTTTAGTGCCTTTTTCTTTCAGACAGCAGCAAAAATAGAAACTTTCAAAACCTCTGAGGAGACCCTTGGAGGCTTATCAACCAGCAGTCTGTGTGGGAGTTAAGATATCAAATGCTATGAAGACTACATTTGTACTTACAGAAACCTCACATATCGATTATTGTAAAGGTAATAGTGTATCCCAGAGCCTCTTTCTTTCTTAAAATAACAATGGCAAAAGAAGCACAGAAAATACTGGGTTTTTTTTCAGCAGTGAAAGAGCAACTTGACTCAACTAAAGAAAACTCTATTGTTCTCAAGGCTATTATGTAGCTTCTTCAACTTTTGTATATATAGAATACAACTTCGATTTTTTCCTTTGTACTTTTGTGTCAGTTTCTGCTACAAATTTATAGAAGCAATGTTAATACAGAAAATTTCAGCCCCTGTCTGGTATGGTTCACCATAGAGCCCCGTAGGTACTTGTTTGCACACACACGTGGACAGAGAAGGGCAATGGTTGTTCATGGGGGCAGATGCAGTGAGAATTCCTCTTTAGCAGCTGGGCCAGCTTACACTGACTGAAGCAGTATATGAGACTGCCATGTAATTTTTCTCCTATACCTCTATGCTGGACTTGCCCAGACTAGAAGATCGTTCTGCCACTTCTACATGCTTGGAAGTTGTTGACAGCTCCCTGATGGTTCAGATCACGGTCATGTTCAGTGGTTACTGTAGGACATTGGCACAGTAGCCTCCAGGCTGCAGGGGATTATTCTCTGCTCTTTCCTTTTCTCTTTCCTTGTCCCCACATTGGGATCTGAAGTGGTTTGCAAATATCACCTGGGTGCAGCATTTGGTGCTGTATCCTGCTGTATTTGTGCCTAACCTGCAGTCTTATATCGGAAGTTTTCAAATAGTTTCTGCAGCAGAGAGGGAGGTGTTTCTGGTTGCCTTATTGTGTAAATCATTGAAATATCTTCCCTTAGGTTTCATGGGATCATTTCTCGGGAGCAAGCAGATGAAATACTTGCCGGCGTGGAAGGCGCATACATTCTTCGAGAAAGCCAGCGGCAACCTGGCTGCTACACTCTTGCTCTCAGGTAAATGCTGTTTTACTAGATGCTTGCAGTTCAAATACAAGTGTGTTTAGTGGAGGGGGCTGTATGAGTCCTTTCTAAGTAAAGTCTGTATGCACAGTTCGTTAATACACTACACGGTGTCAGTGTGATTTTAGAGTCTCTTGTCTGCAGTTTGACAAGCACTGCAGTCCTTCAGTCAGCCCTTGGCACTTGGCTAAGAAAGTGCCTTTTCAGGAGCAGACTGTGTCTGCTTGCCATTTTTTTTTGTTTTGTTTTAATCCAGACAAGGCTGCTGCAGTGAGTTAAACATGGACCTTATCCTTGAAAGCTAAGAAAGACACTAAAGTGAATTCGCAGAACCCAAGAGAAATGCGGATGCTGCTAAGAACAAGAGAAAAGCAAAAAGTGGTGATAGGGTCCTACTGTCCTTTTAACCAGTTCTTCCAGGGCACAGCGAGATTTTGCTCTGGGCTCAGTGAGGTGTTTTGCACCAACATCAGTGACAGTAGGAGATATTTAAAGAATCCCACTCTGGAAAACCAAGAAGTGCAGTGGCTGGCCACCTGTCAAGAAGGCATAGCAGGCCTCGTTTTTCTTCCCCTCGCTGGAATGCAGCCATGCTGTAGAAATACAGTGTGGATCAATGAAATAAAGCTGTGCAAAGAAGTAAGATGCTGCTATTCAGCTGAATTCAAAATTCTGAGACTGAACTACAGTACCACTGCTCCTCACAGGCTCCTCACAGGCCCTCCTGGCTTAACTGTGCCATTCAAAGCTGCCCCTGTGGCAACCTTAAAGCTGCTGTGGGCTAGTGGGAGGAAACCCAGATGCTCTATTGGGTTTTGACAAAATAAACTCAGTGACAATACTTTACAATGTTTATAACATTATTCCTTCTGGGGGACATAGACACAAAATAAAAGTGTTCATTTTTCCCCTCCTGCTGGTAAGGCTGTAAAAAAAATCTTCAAGGAGTTCTCCCAAGGAGCTGTGATACTGTGCTGAAATCATCCTCAGCATTCTTGTTGCTGTGCAGATGGTAGAGCTGGAAAAGCTAGTGATTCATGCCAATTAAAAAGTGTTATAAATTAAAAGCAACTTTTGTCAGCTGAAAAAGAACAAGCATATTTTTTGTAGGATTTTGGCCAGCTATTTCAAAATAAAGAGTAAAAAGAACTACCAAAGGACAGGGATTATGGCAAACTGCCTGTTGTTTTGACACGACAGTGTGATTTCTAAATTCATCTGGATAATTATTTGTAGACTCAAAAAGTGAATTTAACTGTAAGTTGAGAATTTATATGAAATAATGTGCAGGGAAAAATATCAGTTAACAGTTTGGTTTTGAATGTACAACATAGTATGCAGAAACATGTACATTTGGTGTATTATGCTGCATCACTTAACCCAGTGATTTAATCAAGAATAGTATTTCACCTCCGTGTTATGAACAGAAGGTGCTACTACAGCCCTCTTCTTTTTCATACAGCTTTTAAAAACATTGATGCTGTTAATAGCCATGTAAGGTCAGAGTTATCCCACCAAACTTTAGGCATTTAATTCCCCACCCGGCCACTCCAAATTAGGATCTTAATCTCTCTGGCTTCCTTCCAGAGGATGATTCAGACTCTTAGGATTTGAATTACTTGCTGGAGATGCCCATGTCTTTCCGTTGCCTGTAAAAATGCCCATGGGGGTTGAGCTTCTGGTTTCAGCACCTTAGAAATGTTGCAGGATGAAGCAGCCCTTAACAGAATTTTACATCCCAATACAAGGTCTTGTAAGTGAAAACATGTTTTTCCATGTGCTATGGTACTCCCTATAGGATTTAGAGCAAAATCATGTCATTCTGGTTTATTATGTGTTTTTTTAAAGACAACTGGCTCGATGCTGCTGTAGCCCAGTCCATGTGCTGCAGTGAGGTTTGATCTTGAATTTGAGCTGCATCCGCAGAGATCCAGTTGCAGTCATGTCTATATTCCATATGTAACCCAGATATATAACGTGGCATATAGTCAGCAAAATTGCCTCCTGAGTATTTTGCCAGTATGGATTCTGTCTCTCACTCTTCCCTCTATATCTTTTTCCTCTTCCTCATTTTTTTTTCCTGGTATATGCAGATTTGGTAATCAGACCCTGAACTACAGGTTGTTCTATGATGGAAAGCACTTTGTTGGGGAGAAAAGATTCGAGTCAATCCATGATCTGGTAACAGATGGTTTGATAACATTGTACATAGAAACAAAGGCTTCTGAGTATATATCAAAAATGACAACAAACCCCATCTACGAGCACATTGGATATGCCACTCTGCTTAGAGAAAAAGTGTCCCGAAGGCTGAGCAGAACAAAAAATGAATCAAGAAAAGCAAGTGTAACAAGTGAAGAAAACACCCCTGTGGAAAAGGTAAGCATTCAGTTTGAAATTTTGAAATTTAATACTAGTCTTTCTGTCAAATCTAGAGGTAAATGTATTTTGTCTAAAGACAATTTTTCTATTTTTCTACACCTGATTAAGTGTGACTAAGCCCCTGAAATGTTTATATCATGTTAGTGTGATTTTGGCTGCAAGCTAATATTTAACTGGAGCTTATTATTAAAGCTTCCTAATCAGTACTATGCAAATGTTTTCACTGTGTAAATATATATATATACTGGTTAGCATAGGAACTGCACCTTGTAATGGTCACAAAACATGTTTCTTTATCCACGTACGCTCAAGCATACTCATCAGTGGTCTCTGATAATGAAAGTGGTTCCCGCTGACCATTCACCACAGCTCAAGTTTGTTATCTTTCTATTTGCAGTGCAAAGCTCCTCTTTCCTGCCAAGTCTATGGTGGAGGTGTCTGAAATTGGGATATTGCGTGTTTTCTTCTTTTTCTTCTCACTCTTCTGATTTAAAGTGGGCTCTTGGTCTCTTTCTCTCATATTCTGTATCCCAAAGCATTGTATGGTCCAAGATATAATAATGAATGGGGAATCCCTTGCAGTTAGTAAGCAACTGAAATGTAAAATTAGAAATATGAAAAATGGTCTTGTGAGTAATAACGTGTGGGTATTTTCACAGTAAGAACTGTCAAACAGAGATTTATTTCTGAGGCAGGTGTTCGTGCTGAATTGACTTATTAGTGTTTGTGAGAGTACTTCTGCAATATGACCGAGGTGGTTTTAAAATACAATGCCCTGGCTAGTTTTACTAGGTTATTTTTCATAGCCAGTTGTGATTTCTTTTGTGCTTGGGCTTAGCCATCATTTCTCAGGTTAGACAGTTTCGAGTATGTACTGTAAAATACTTCTAAACCAACAGGTGCACAAGCTGCTACTGAAAGGTGCTCCTGCCCTCGCTCCTTGACTGGAAAATGTCACATTTGGATCTAATGTCACCACTGTCAATAGCAGCGGAAAGCTGTAGTGGTTGGACTAGGTCTTTTTTTGCATTGCAGCTGAAAGATGATTCATGATGCAAAAGCTACTGCCTTAAGCCTTTATCCTCGATGAGGAGCATTTCTGCTCATGGAGAATTTTGCATGCGCCATCAGTAACAGGCTGCAAGACTGGGGCTGCATCGCTGCACTGCCATGTAAAAATAGCCAGCTTCAACTAAGCCATTACAGTGCTGGCAACTGTCCCTGCCATTCCCCCCACTGAGGGGAAGCAGCAGAAGGAGCAGGAGCAGCTGTTTCTAACATACTTTTCTTGCCAGAAGGAGCAGAAGCAACCACAGCTACATGAGGAGTGGGGCTAAGTATTAACAGGGTGATCTGTTCCCAGGCTAAAGCCCTGCTGCATCACCTGAAGCCTCCACATAGGTAATTAAGACTCCCAATGGGTTTCCCTCCTAGTACCGGTTTTCCTTCATTTTCATCAGTCCATAATGCAAGAAAAAGGCTACTTCAGCTGAATTATGAGCAGCTGAAAGAAGACAGAAGTCTGTACAGTGCCTGTCTGGCTGACTGTGCTTCCTGGAAAAACTCCCTGGGGATTCACACAGCAGAGACATGGGGATCAGCATTCCCTTTTCTTCTTCACAGTAACCTCAGTATGGATTGGGCTATGAAAGAAATCAATAAAATACCAAGCATTTGTCTGTAATAGTGGATAGAGACAGAGGAGGGTAAAGGGAATTTAGTTTTTGCTTTAATGCAGCCCCATAAATAAAAATGGGAAAGCGGTAGATCGGTGGTAGATGTGTAGATGTAACAGTATCAGATGCTTTTTTGCATCTGCTTGTGTTTGTCATGTGTTGTAGAGAATTTTAGGGAATGGACTTGCTTTGGCAACAAATCAAAAGCTTTCCTCTCAGCAGCTGCTAAGACTGTTAGAAATAAATGGATGGATATTTAGTATGAAATATTTCTGCACAGGAAATTTCTTGATACATGAGTGACGAAATAACCGAAAGGAGTGGATTTTCTTTGGCCGCTTACGGAGAATAAGTAGAATGTAAATTTTTGATAATTTAACTGCTTTATCTGAACGTATGCCTGGAGTATTTTGACTGTTTCAGAAATAATAGGGAGGAAAAAAGTGTATCCTTACAGGACAGAAACTTTCATTTTTCTCAAAAGGGGAATTTTGCAGTCTAAGGTTAAGCATCACTGCTCGTATTACAGCTTAGGCTTTTCAGAAAGAAAATTCTGTTTCATATTGAAATCAATTGCAGAGTGTGAAGCTACAGCTGAAGGCATTCATCCCCGTTGCAGATTTGTTACACCATCCGGGGAATCTGCTCGTTGTGTCGTGTCCCACGTTGACAGCAGAAATTATTAAATGTCTCAGTCATTTCAGAGATGCTTTCCCCCTTTGGGTAGGTCGATGGAAGGTTGCCACCAAGGCACTGGCTGGCAGGAGAAATACACATTTGAATAAAATGTCTTGGTACTGCCTGGGGTACCTGTCTATTCCCATAATTATAGTTTCTTGGAGGTTGTAATTAGTGGAGTCATGCTCATTTCAAAAGGGGGATGTGATACGTGGGCCAGATTAAGCTGTTGTTGTTCGTGCCTTTCTACCCATCGTTTTTTTTAATAACAGGCCTTTTTTTTTTTTTTTTTTGCTTGGTGATTCTTAATAATCCCTCTATTTCTTCCAGAAGTATTTCTGTCTAACTTTAAAGAGGTGCTAAATTTACAGACACAGATTTCAAATTTTTTGTCTGGATAGTTCAGAAGACCTAAAAGGAGACTCACTGACTTTTAGGAATGAAGTGTTTTGGAAGAGCAACATTCTGCAAATATTTCCTTAGCAGGGTAGGCAGTTGTCATTTTAGTGTGATCCAACTTAGAAAAGGATTTGGGATCTTGCACAAAGAGTACGGGAACATTATATACAGTCTAGGGTTGTGATTTAGTCTTGAGCAAATTGCGATTACGTGTTTTGTGTTTATTCTGTTTGGGGAATGCTGGACTGGAGGCAAATAATCATAGACTAGAAGATGTAGGGCAGATAAGTTCCTGATACTGTGAGTGTAGGAGGCTTGTATAACTTGCTGTGAGCAATTAATCCTCACGTGGAGGAGAGAAAAAATTGCAGCAGTCACTCGGTAAAATATGTGGTTCTGAAACGTTTATCGCAGTCACTTATCATGTCATCACATGGCTGCTGCCGTCACTGCATCAGTGATCTCCATAGCTCAGGCAAAGAGAATAAATTCTTTCTCTCTAATCCCACACTGGCAAATGTAATTCAGGGAAATACGTTCCAGCAATCAAGACGATGGAGTTGAATGTGAGCCGCAGTCTCGGAGCAGGCAGAGGCTATTGATGCCGTGGGAAGAGGCAGCCCCCGTTCCCTGCTCCTGCAGGTGCCTGCAGTGCGCTGCTGCGACCTGGGCTTGGGGCTGCCATGGCCACCGCGGGCCAGACACGGTGCCCTGGGCCCACACAGGAGAGATTCCTCCATTAAGTTGCCTTGCAGCTACTCCAGTGCTTATATCAGCCTGGAGAAGACGGGAGAGGGGGGATGCACTTGAATGAAATCTTTGGCAGCAGCTGAGCTTCACGCGTTCGTGAAAACAGTGATCTTACCCTGTCTGACAGACCCAGGCTATTGGTAAACACAGTCAGAAATAAGGAAAGTTTTGTTGGTGCCAGGTCTCCACTTACTTACTCAGATTCTGGCAAAACTCCCATCAACTTCTTTCCAAGTGGGACCTTGCTCCAGCATGCTGGTTGTGCAGGAACCAGGACGTGCTTGGAGCTACTCTGGGAGGCTTGTTCTGCCTGATGTGTCTAAGTATGTGCCAGGAGCAGCAAGAGGCCCTTAACGATGATTATCTTTGGGGAAAAGTGTAGCATTTTGACCTGAAACAAGACAGAGCTGTGCAGGGGGACTTCACTTAACAGCAGGACAGCGGCAGGCGCTGAATATTGCTGCTTGACACAGTAACCCCTCCATCCATTTTTCTGGAGCTCATTACTGTGCATTTATGTGCAAATGACAGAGGCCGTAGTTAATATTGTAGCTAGAAGAGAAAAGCCGAAGTGATAAGCATATTACGGAGGCTGGCAGGTTGCAGATTTCCTCAGCAGAAAATCCCGCACAAATAATAGGCAGATAAGAAAGCCATTCCTATTAAGGAAAAGGTGACAGAAAAGGAAGAATAACTTTGCTAGAAGTAATAGTGGGCATTAGTGGCCTCATTAGCCATGCTGCTCACACAGTTTCCCACAGCATAAAATGCTGGACTTCCAGGAAGGGCTGTTTTCTGACGCCCCGTAATTGGAGATGTAATCTGGTTATGGAATTAAATTTTATTAGGAGCACTACACTGTGCAGGAGACAGCCAATTTTAAGAGATCCTCTGGTTTAGTTTAGGTTTTTTGTGTTTACATTTCTACTTTGCTATTCACACTGCATCCCTTTGTGAAGACCTTTCAACCTCATCCTCCATCGTTTCCCCAAGGCTCTTCCCTGAGTTTTCTAAAGGTGCTGCTGTTAGCCAACAGGAGAGAAATCTTTCGAGTCTTTCTGCAGCTCCTGTAAACTTCTGCTGATTCTGTTAGAGGTTTCTGACTAGTATTCGGAGTCTCTCCGGGGATGTCTATGAAGATGTTGTGCCTTCCCTTCCCGTCTTGCGTTGCTGAAGAGCAGAGTGAGCAAGAATGTCTGTTCATGCAGACTCAGGGTTAGGACCACAGTGATTTTCTGACCCAATGTGGTTTCTCTCTCCTGGAGCTCCTGGCATCTGAATGCGTCCAGAACAGACTGAAGCACCTTCTTTCAGTAAGGGCAACAATCTATGTTCTGTATGGAAATTACCCAAATTCACAAAGGACTTCTGTTTTTCTACTGATTTTGCATGGAAGAAGCTCAGATATGACAACATAAACCCTATACAGGAAAACAGTCTTTGCACTTTTCAGCAGTATTTGCAGTGATAAAATGTGTGTGGCATTCTTGCTGT